GGGTGTGCCAAAACGGGGCGGCGCCGCCATGCGGGCTGCGCCACTGGGACCTTAGGTGGAGCTCCCTATGGGGCCACGACACGTGTGAGGGGTGTACCAAAATGGGGCGGCGCCGCCATGCGGGCTGCGCCACTGGGGCCTCAGGTGGAACTCGTGATGGGGCCACGAAGCGTGTGAGGGGTGTACCAAAATGGTGCGGCGCCGCCATGCGGGCTGCGCCACTGGGACCTTAGGTGGAGCTCGCTATGGGGCCACGAAGCGTCTGAGGGGGTGTACCAAGATGGGGCGGCGCCGCCATGCGGGCTGCACCAGTGGGGCTTTAGGTGGAGCTCGCTATGCGGCCACGGAACGTGTGAGGGGTGTGCCAAAAGAGAACGGCGCCGCCATGCGGGCTGCGCCACTGGGACCCCCGATGGAGCTCCCTATGGGGCCACGACTCGTGTGAGGGGTGTGCCAGAATGGGGCGGCGCCGCCATGCGGGCTGCGCCACTGGGACCTTAGGTGGAGCTCCCTATGGGGCGACCAAGCGTGTGAGCGGTGTGCCAAAATCCCAAACGGGTGTGGCGGACGCGTGCGGGCGGTGGCAGTGAGGCCTTCGGTGGACTTCGCTATCGGGCCACGAAGCGTGTGAAGGGTGTGCCGATATGGGTGTGGCGGACGCGTGCGGGCGGTGGCACTGCGCCTTTCGGTGGAGCCCCCTGTGGGGCCACGAAACGTGTGAGGGGGGCTGGCATGTGTGGCGATGCGTGCGATGATGACGGCGATGATGATGACGATGACGAAGACGACGACGATGATGATGCTGATGTTGATGATGATGATGATGATGAGGATTATGTGGATGTTGACGATAAGGATGATGATTGGAGGAAGGAGGGGGGAGGAGAGTTGGCAGACGCGGGGCGCATTCTCTTCAAAACGAGGACCCCACGCCACAGGATGGTAGACAGAAAGAAAGACATCGACGTGTATGTGTGTCTGTGTCTCTTTTCCTTCCAAGCTTTGGCGCCAAGCGTCTCACTCTGGCTTCGTGGCGCGAACGGCCCCAACGACCACTGAAGCGGGACACGGTTGGCGCCACGAAAGTCCTTGGTTTAACGCGGACACCGCGCAAAGACGGTGCCGAACAGAATGTGCTGTGCACGCTCGCGCGCGCCGAAGGCACTTTGGGGTTTGGCGTGGGGCTCGGGACGTGACCTTTCATGATGCTGCGGCATTTTTCGCGACGTCGGATCTCATGTGGCCGCGATGGCGACACGGAGCAGGAATGGAGGACCTTGAGGACCTGGAGGTGGAGGAGGAGGAGGGCCTGGAGGAGGAGGTACGGGGGGAGGAGGACCAGGAGGAGGGGGAGGAGGAGGACCAGGAGGAGGAGGCGGAGGAGGAGGAGGAGGAGGAGGAGGAGGAGGAGGAGGACCAGTGTAAACCCAAGGCCCATCAACGATGTTAGAATACACCCTCCCTCCAAGCTCCCTCTTCATATGCCCCCATACAAGGATTCGTTTCCCGTGCGGCAAGTGCACTGTTGGGAGGCAGCGGTTTGAAGATCCAGAAGCATGCCAGATCAGCATTCTCGGGACTTCAACGCCACGAATCGACCTGACTGTTGCGTCTTGACGATCCTGAATCGTGCAAGAACGCCGTTCTTGGGGAATGAGCACCTGAATCAACGTAACTGCTGCGCCATGACATTCTTTGACCGTTACCAAAACACTATTGCTGCCATGGGAACCCGCGAAACCAGTGCACATTGCGGCGCTGAGGCGATGGCCACATGGTGAAAAATGAGCCGTCCTCACCCCGTGAACAGCTCTTGCAATTTGTACAGCGAATGTGCGCGGCGCTGCCGTCCCAGCGATGCCAGGCCCCCCCCCATGGACCCCCTCTTTGGTCGCCCGCCTGGCCGCCGCGCCCCCTCCCCGCCTGCGGCCCCCGAAAGGGCGTCCCCAAAGTGCCAAGACGGCCCCAGGTGGACTCCAAGACTGAAGGGGGCCCCAGGACACACAAATAAGTACACACAAATAAACATATTCCTTATGTTTTCCTATATCTTCTGGGTTTCTGTCTTCCCCCCACTTCCCATATTTTCCTATATTTTCTGGGGAATCGAGGATTAATTGTGTCTGTGTGTTTCTTTTCCTCCTGAAAGACGGCCCTCTACGGCTTCCACGTCGGCCCAACATCGCCTCAAAGACCGCCGCACTGGCCCCAAGACGGCCCCACGAGGCCAGCAAGAGGAAGGGCCAAGAGGCCTTCCAGAACACCTCCGAATGATACAAACTCGTTAAGCACGTAAGGTGCTCGAGCAATTCTAGCAATCTCCCCGTTTTGGTTCGGACAGCGTCCAAGACGTCCCAAGAGGCCCCCAGGATCGCCCGAAGATAGCCCACGAAGCCCCACGAGGCCCCCTGGAGTCTCCCAAGAGGCCCCCAAGACGCCCCAACAAGGTCCAAGACGCGCCCAAGAAGCCCCCAAGAGGCCCCAAAGGGCCCCGAAGAAGCCCCGAGACGCCCCCCAGAGGCCCCACCGAAGCCTCCAAGAGGCCCGAAGAGGCCCCAAAGAAACCCCAACAGACACCAAGAACCCCCCAAGAGGCCCAAACAAGCCCTCGAGGCCTCAAGAATCCTCCGAACGGGGCCGTTTTGAAATCACTCTTGCTGCACCTCCTGCTCCTCCTCCTTCTCTACCTCATCCTCCTCCCCTTATCGTCTTCCTCCTCATCGTCTTCCTCCTCCTGCTCCTCCTCCTCCAATCCCTTTGACAATTCGCCGGCCCAACGGGACAAAGGCGTGCTAAGATCTCCGGTAACTGGTTGGCAGTAGTTCTAGTTCGCGCGCGCAGGGCCGCCCCTTGGGGTCCCCGGACAAACAACAACCCAGCAAAATCCCGTGCAGGCAAGGTCCCGGGCAAGTCCCTCGCAGGTCCTGGCAAGGTCCCGGGCAGGTCCTGGCGAGGTCCTGGCCAGGTCCCAGCAGGCTCCCAAGAGCGCTCCAGGAGCGCTTCAAGTGGCCTCCAAGAGAGCTCAGCATGGTCCGAGACGGTCCAAGAGCGATCCAAGATGCCAAAGATGGCGTCCGGATAGCCCCAAGCACCCTCAAGACGCTTCCAGGACGGCTCTAAGAGCGTGCCTAGACGAGAGCCCGAACGGACATTTCGAACTCCAGGCGCAGAGGGGTCCCCTGGAGGCCCCAAGAGGTCGCCCAGAAGCCCCCAAAAGGCCCCCGAGAGGCCCGAAGAGACCAACAAGAGGCCCCCAAAAGGCCCCGTGACTCCCGAGGAGGTCCCAGAAGTACCGCCAAGAGGCTGAAAAGAGGCTCCCAAACGCTCCCCAACGGCTTTCAAGAGGCCACGAACGCACAGGCAAACGCCTGCGATGGCACAATACGGGCCGTCGGAGTGAGGGAAACGATTCGATCATTTCTTTTGTGTCCTCGGTAACCAAATGCCCTGGCATCTGAGACCTGTTCAGTGTGGTGCGCTGTGTGGTGCGATCTGTGTGCTTCGACCTCCACAGGGTGCAGCGTGTCTGTGTGTCTGTGTGTGTGTGGGTGTGTGGGTGTCTCTCTCTCTCTCTCTGTGTGCGCGTGTGTGTGTGTGTGTGTGTGTGCGCGCGCGCGCGCGCGTGTGTGTGTGTGTGTGTGTGTGTGTGTGTGTGTGTGTGTGTGTGTGTGTGTGTGTGTGTGTGTGTGTGTGTGTGTGCGCGCGCGCGCGCGCGCGCGCGCGCGTGTGTGTGTGTGTGTGTGTGTGTGTGTGTGTGTGTGTTGTGCGTGCGTGCGTGCGTGCGTGCGTGCGTGTGTGTGTGTGTGTGTGTGTGAGTGTGTGTGTGTGTCTGTGTCTGTGTGTGTGTGTCTGTGTGTGTGTGTGTCGTGCAGCGCCGCGCTTGCCTTGCCGCGGTGCAGCCTCGCCGCGCAAATTTTCCCCAAAAGCGCCGCGGCGGATGCGCGCGGCCGTGCAACTGGACATCAGCGCCAAGCTTTCGGAGGTCCGAGCGGGCTTCTCGGATCGGCGCTTGGCCCCCCCCCCCTTTGGTGTCCGTTCCATGGGAGCCTGCGCGTGGCCCCCGGCGCTGTCCGATTTGGGCGCCTGGTTTGGACCGGATTTGGAGCAAAGTCGGACCAGATGTGGACCAGATGTGGAGTGGACTCGCGGGGGGTAGAAGAACGAGGAGAAGGAGGAGGAGGAGGAGGAGGAGGAGGAGGAGGAGGAGGAGGAAGGGGGAACTGGAGGGGAAAGGAGGAGCAGGAGGACGGGCCGAATGCGGTCCCTACGCGGTCCAAATGCAGGCAAAACTGTTTTCAGTGTCGCCGCCCAAGGCTCCCATGAACAGACATCGAGAGCCCCCCCCCCCCCATCCCCTGGCGCGCGGAGCACGCCAAACGGCGGCAGAGGAGGTGCCGCCAGCGGGGGGGCCCAACGCCGAGGCAGGAAATCCGCGTGGGCCTCCGACAATTCACGCTTGTGTGTTTTACTGTTCGCCTCACGTCGACAGCAACAGCGGGGGGAACGATACGAAGGGTGACTCAGTCAAAGGGGGGAACATCGAGCCAACATCGGCGATACATCGCCGACGGACCAGCGATAGGCGTCCGATCACGAGACCGCACGCCCCCAGGCAGGTCGGCCTATCGGGCCCCTGTCGTCGATGAGTGGGCGATGGGTCGATGCGTCGATGCGCCCCCCCCCCTGAGCCCATCCTCCCCGTCGTCGACCCCTGGCTTTCGGATCGTGGCTCGGCTCTCCGACGGCCGTTCGGGACGCTTGGGGCAAACCCCGGCCGGAACGCCCTCGGCGAGGCGCAGCTGCTAGAAAACACCTTGGGGCTGAAGGCCGCCGATGACAGGTTCAAATGTCCGAAGCCTTGAGCCCCGACCGCACACGTCTGGAACCTGTTCTTCAGGCCAAGCGCAGCTGCTGGAACGCATCCCGAGGCCGGAGGACGGCCGAAAACAGACAGAAACGTCCGCCAACCTTTCCGACAGACCACTTCGTCCTTGCAGCTCTCACGGGGTGCGCCCTGACGAGAACCTCGAAGGGAAGCCAGCCGTAGCGACGGATAGCTTCCCAGAACGACCGGCGGCATGTTTTTGTTCCTCTTGCGAAATTCGTCCCCTGAGCCTATCCGCACCTGACGATGCCTCCGGCACAAGACGTCGGGTCCAGCGCAATGGGCTGGTGGCCTTGGCGGCTTCGTACGCGCGCCACGCCCTCTCGTCGGCCCCCGCCGCGCGCTGCTCGCAGGCCTCGCCCCGCCTGGAGCGGGAGGGGGAGGAGGAACAGACGGAGGCGGGAGGAGGAAGAAGATGAGAAGGAGGAGGAGGAGGAGGAGGGGAGGGAGGAGGAGGGGGAGGAGGAGGAAGAAGAGGAGGGGGAGGAGTTGGAAGTGGAATTGGCCCCTTCGCGATGCGAAATCCGTCTGGCTTGCTAGGCAGCAGGCCCAGCTTCCATGCTGCGCGCCCGAAGCCTGATCGGCTTGGGCGGCTTACCAGCCATGGAATTATCGAGATACTCCCTCCGTGAATCACTCAGAGGTGCACGGCTGGGCGAGCGGTTGTCTCAACTGCTCTCGTCCGCAAAATCCGCAGAATCCACATCTCCACGTGTCGGAGAGAGAGGAGCATGAGGACATACTGAGCGGGGTGGATTCAACCACCCCCCAGATGAACTCTAAACCCCCTCGGCAGACGGGAAACATGGGAATCAACATGCTCTAAGGCAAAACAGGGAGAAGCCCTCCACTCATTGAGAGTGCCCAACGACGCATGCCGTCTACACCTAACACACCTCCTTCCAAAAGCACTGACTTGGTGATCGGACTGGAAGAAGGTGAGAATGGAGGGGGAAGGAGAGGGCGGCGGCCTGGTAGACACCCCACTGGCGGTCGTCCTCGCCGCCATCGCCTCGAGCGTCGACCGAAAGGGGACGTTTCCTGACAAGCGAAGCATCAATCTCTGTCCTCAACACCCTTCCACGCGTATCGGGATCAGCCCGAATGGACTCGGCTTCTGCCCCTGCAAAGTAGTCGACAACATAATGGCCAAGCAACAAAAATTGGCTGATACCGCAATCAAAGAAACGGTCGGCCTCAACGTGCGATGGGACTTGCAACACCATAATCTGCGACGGATCGCGACAATGAGAACGAAGTTCATCACGGATCGAACGCCTAGCCGACTTGTTGGAGCCTCGGGGCTCCACATGGAACCCTTGATACCACCCGTCCGAACCCCCACTGTTATCGGCAGTATACACCATAGGCCCACGAGTGTGACGAATAGCGAGTAGAAGCCTCCAGACTTCACCACGAGGAACCGTCTGTGGGGCCCCTGGGAGTCCTCCATACACCGCCGCCCTCACAGGAGGAGGGGGAGGAGGAGGGAGGAGGGAGAGGGGGAGGAGGGGGAGGAGGAGTAGAGGAGGAGTAGGACGATGAGGCGATGAGGAGGAGAAGGAAGAGGAGGGGGAGGAGGAGGAAGAGGAGTAGGAGTAGTAGTAGTAGTAGTAGTAGTAGTAGTAGTAGTAGTAGTAGTAGTAGTAGGAGGAGGAGGAGGAGGAGAGGAGGAGGACGAGGAGGAGGAGGAGGAGGAGGAGGTGGAGGAGGAGGGAGGAGGAGGAGGGAGGAGGAGAAGAGGGGGAAAAAGGGAAAGAAGGAGGGGGGAAAGGGGGTGAAGGAGAAGGGATGAGGAGGAGGAGGGGGATAAGGGAGGAGGAGGAGGAGGAGGAGGAAAGGAGGAGGAAGGAGGAGGAGGAGGAGGAGGAGGAGGAGGAGGAGGAGGGAGGAGGAGGAGGAGAGGAGGAGGAGGAGGAGGATGAAGACTCAGGGACCCTGAGGGGGAGGGGAGGAGGAGGAGGAGGAGGAGGAGGAGGAGGAGGAGGAGGAGGAGGCGGAGGAGGAGGGAGGAGGAGGAGGAGGAGGAGGAGGGAGGAGGAGAGAGGAGGAGGAGGAGGAGAGGAGGAGAGGGAGGAAAGGAAGAGAGGAGGAGGCGGAGGAGGAGGGAGGAGGAGGAGGAGGAGGCGGAGGAGGAGGAGGAGGAGGAGGAGGCGGAGGAGGAGGAGGAGGAGGAGGAGAAGGAGGGAGGGAGAGGAGGAGGGGGAGGGGGAGGAGTGAGAGGAAGAGGAGGAGGAGGAGGATGAGGAAGAGGAGGAGGAGGATAATAGAGGAGGATGAGGAGGATTAGGGAGAAGAAGGAGGAGCAATGAAGGTCATATAGCCCCGGGCCCCTGTGCCGCCGTGCCGGGTCCCAGGGGGGCCGGCCTCAGCGCGCTGCCGCGATCGGCTGCGCCCCGCACCACGTCTACAACAACCTCAGGGTGTATACGGCAGGTTCGTGTCGTGTCGACCATGGCGTTGGTTCCTGACAACGCGGGGATCGCTCAACCTTGAACGATCGGCCGTTTCCGAATCGTCCAAATCGTTCCACATCGAACGATTCTGGGTCGCCCGCGGCGTTCAACGTGAGCGCCGCTGGCGGGGTCGCCGCCGGTCTGCACGACACGAACCTACCGTAACTTCACCCACCCGTCGGTCAATGCTACGGCCAAGGTGCCCCGTCTACGGCAAGCACACCTGCTGCGGCCGAGTGGTCCAGTCGCTCTACCCCCCCCCGCCCTCCCCCCTCCCTCGGTGGCCTCAGGACGAGAGGAGTGTGGGTGGCCTTTCTCTCCCCCTTCCCCCTCTCCGGAACGGGCCCGCCGCCGCGTAGCCGTCGCGCCCCCAATGCGCGCGGCGGGCGCGGGGGCGATCTGGGTGACGCCCGGTGGCGCTGCAAGAGAGAGAGAGAGAGAAAAAGAGAGAGAGAGAGGGGAGAGGAGGACCAGTGTAAACCCAAGACTCATCAACGATGCTGCAATAAGCCCTCCCTCCAAGCTCCCTCTTTAGTCGGTCCCTACGAGAATGTGCTATCATTGTCAAAAAAAGCGCCCCATTGGAATAGAACCGTTCGAACATTCTCCATCATGCCAAAACGCCGTTCTTGGGACGTCAACGCCGCGAAGCAGCGTGACTGTTGTGTCCTGACAATTCTAAATCGTTCACGAACACGATTTCTGGGAGTTCAACACAGCGAAGCAACATGAGTGTTGCGTCCTGACAATCCGAAATTGTACCAAAACACTGGAAACGGCTGAATTTGTTTCATGCTAATGTGCGCGGTGCTAAAACGAAAATCACGTTTTGACTTCGACCACCCCTCCATACGTGCACGCCAGAACAGCATTTTGAAAACGACCCGCCCTCCATCCGTGAAGTCGTTGCAACATTTTGCAACACATACTGGCTTGTGCGCCGCTTAAAAACACGAGCAACATTCTGAAAACGGCCCGCCCTCCACCTGTGGAGCTGTCGCAACTTTCAAACTTCGGGATCGTACGCAATGAGGATGTCTCAGGCGAAACGCCCGGCCCGCCCTACCGACACGTCTTGGGGGGGCGACCGGGAGGAAACATGCAAGGAAAAGGGGTGGACGAGGATGGGGAGGCGGAGGAGGAAATAGAGGAGGCGATGGAGGATTATCACAGATAACATCAGAGGAGAGGCAAGGGGTCGGCGAGGAGGAGGAGGAGGCGGGTGAGGACGATGATGAGGGAGGGGGGAGGATGAGGGATGGTGCAGGACGATGATGAGGGATGGGGCGTCTTGGCCACGCCCGAGGGGCCGTGCTACATCCAAAGACGCGCGCACGCCCCTGGGCAGGCACCGAAGCCTCCTGGGGGGAGGAGGGCGGGTGAGAGGGAAGGAGGGGCGACCAAGATGGAGGAGGGGGAGGAGGGGGACTCTAAGAGATATAAACCAGAACCATCGCGCACACTTGGCGCTCGCTCGAATTTTACTTGCTATTGGGCCAGACGTATAGCGCGTCAGAGAGGCCGTGTCCAGATGATCGGGTCCTTAGCTTGGTAACCCACGCCTTGATATCTGAAATCGCCTTGAGGCTTTGTATTGGCACCAGAGGCGCCGCCAAAGGAGTTCAACGCCGACCCAAGATTTCCGCTCGGACCTGCCACAATGTATGCTTGTGCTGTTTCTCTTCTTCGACTCTTACCACCTTGCTACGCTCGAGCACACGCTGGCATGGATTTGGGATCCGTGGATCTGGCGGGCGGGCGCCTGATCCAAGGATCGGAGAACGCTGCCCTCGAAGCGTGTCGACAATGCCGCGTGATCTGGTGACGGAGCGCCCCGGTTGTGACTCGGCCGCCCCCAGGCGGTTTGCTGCTCTGGACGAACAATGTTTCCTTTTCAACCTGGCTCGGGTGTTGGCTCTGTCCCGACAGAACTACTGCCGAGCACTCTCTCGTAGGGTGGGCCTTGAGCGCTGTGAGCGCCACAGGGCTGCAAGTAGACTGGCCTCATATGATGTACATTACAGCCGAGACATCTGATGGATCTTATCCGTATGCTTTACGAAACCTGGGCCAGCTCCCCGAATATTCTTAGAGCAAGCCTGGGTCAAATTCTGCTGTTGACGCTGGAGGGGCAAAAACGTGCTCAAAACCGCATGGGTCGGCTTTCCGGCAAGGTGGTTGACAAACGCTGGCCCAGCTCGTCGGAAGGAGGTTTCTGAACCAGATGCTCGACAGCAGTGCTGCTGCTCGTCCCTCCAGCCAGCCCGTGCTGCCAACTACGCTTAGCTCGGGCATGTCCTCCTACAGGCGGATTTTCGACGAAGAATTAAACATACCCCCAAAATACTTAAGCAGAATCAAAACATGCTAGAACACATCGTCCCCAGACTATGCTTGGACTATTCTTGAATATTCCTCCTGTAGAGGGACATGTCCGACTTGATAGTACCAATGCTCGTCCCTCCAGCCCGCCCCTGCTGCCAGCTACGCGGTCGCCCCCCAGGCGGTGTGGCGGTGCGGCCGCGGGCGTTTGGGGAGACTTGCCCTCGGCCGCGGGCCAAACACTCGGGCCATCGGTAACTCCCTTATTAGGAGGCAAAGCGTCCACCCCCATAATAACCACCCCGACAAGCGAGGCCGTTTGGTAAACGCACCCAAAGAAGGAATCGAACAGGGCAGGGCTGTTTAGTAAACGCCCAAGGCCGTTTAGTAAACTTTAATTATCGGGTCCGGGTGGTTTTTCCTCCCTTGACTTATACCGTCAACCCAACCCGTATAGGAAGGACGCGCCATGAGAATGCAAGGGCCTTGGAAGGCCATGTCGACACTTGAGGAGCGGGGCGCGGCCAGCGAAAGCGGCTAAGGATGGGCCAAAGAGGCAGGATGCAAGGGTAACCTTGGAAAGTCGCTCATCCTTATTCTGCGGGGTTGACTGCAAGCCAGGTTTCGGGTGTTGCCAGAAGTGCCCCTGGCCCCAGGTGCCCCCAGGATTTCCAAAGATGCCCCCATGCCCACCAGAACACCTCTCACGAGACCCACAAGGCCCAAAGGGGCTCCAGCATCGAGCGAAACGCTGGGGGCACCTCGGGCCAGGGGCCCCCAGCAACTCCCGAAGGTTCGGCCTGATACAGCCCACCTTGGAGTCCACTGTCCCCCCCCCGACGACGACGACGACGACGACGACGACGACGACGACGACGACGACGACGACGACGACGACGACGACGACGACGACGGCGGCGGCGGCGGCGGCGGCGGCGGGGCGGCCTCGAGGCGGCGAGGCCGCTCGCCCCGCGGCCCGCCGGGGCACCTGGCGCGCTGGGGCCCCCGCCGCCGTCCTCCGCTCCTCGCCGGACCCCCCAGGCGTGCTCGCGCCGTGGCAGACAAAAAAATCACGGCGGGCGGCATGCGGCCGTTTTTGTTCTGCTCCTGGGCGCCCTCGCCGGCCGCCGGAGCCGTCAACAGACGAGGGTGGAAGACCGGCCCCGGGGAGAGCGTCGGGACTTCTGGGGAAAGCGATGGAGAATCTTCGCCACGAAGAGCGCACAGTCGGCCTCAGGCACTGCAGCCTGACGAATTTGGAAGGTGAGCGGCCAGTGCGGGCTGCCGCACGGGGGTCAGCGCAGGCACCGGGCGGCGGGCAGAAAGGCCTGCGCTGGGCCAGGATCGGGGATGGACAGACCTTCCTTTAGTAAAACGTGGTTTAGTGAAAACGACCTGAGGCCCAAACCTGGCGGGCGCAAGCCTGGGAAATAACGGCCGCGGCGCCCTCTCGAGAACCGAAAACGGACAATTCACTAATCGACGTGTCACTGTTGGGGGTTCTGTCCATCCCCGAGTTTGGGGCGTCCTCCTCTGCTCCTGCCGCTGCCGGGGAGGAGCCACCCACCCCAGCAGGACGCCCTCGAGGCAGCCGGGGTGACGAGGGCCGCGCGACGAGGCGAGAGCGCGGCCGTGCGCGCCCGGGCGTGACTTTTTACCACGGGTCGTGGCCGTCCGGACCAGACCTGCAGCTGGCATTGGGGCGAGACCGCGGTCCCTGAATCACAGCAGGAGGAGGAGGAGGAGAAGGAGGAGGAGGAGGAGGGAGGAGGAGGGAGGAGGGAAGAGGAGGAGGAGGAGGAGGGAAGAGGAGGAGGAGGAGGAGGAGGAGGAGGAGGAGGAGGAGGAGGAGGAGGAGGAGGAGAAGGAGGTGAAGAAGCCTGGAAGCCTCGGGCGAAGCGTCTGCTGGACTGGGCGGCTCCCTCCCGGATTCTGCTGCTCTGTTCTCTCAAGCCTCGCCGAGAGCCCTCCAGCGGAAGGCTATCAAGGACTACAATGATGTTGTTCCCACCGTACTTAAGGACCACATCCCAGAAATAATTTCGAGCACCCGGAGAAGTGTCGAAAGTGTCGAAACAGTGTCGGGCGAGTGTCTCCCAGGGCCCAACACGTGAAAACCCTCGAGCTTCGGTAGATTTTTTGGCGCTCGAAATTCTTTCTGGTGGTCAAGGCTAAAGTAGGCTGGAAAATCATAAGACTACAGTAGGGGCCCGACTTCAAGAAACCTGCCACAGGAAGCCCAACCCTGAGACCCCAGGACGTCCACTGATGTCTGGTGCGGGCGCGTCACGCCTTCTACAGCAAAACCATCGCAGCCCAAGAAACCCAGGGCACCTTGGAGGCAAGCAGGGTGTCTCTTGGCATGGGTCTCCACTGTATGAGAGCCCTCCAGCGGAACGCTATCGGGGACTGAACATCAACTTTCGGAGGTCCGTGAGGATTTCTTGGCGCTGCGCCGGATCCCCCTCCCTGGGGCGCGCGCAGCAAGCCAGGGGCGGCGCCAGAAGCGCCGCCGGGGGGGGGACCCAGCGCCGAGCCAGGACAGCCGCGCGCAACTTCGAAAGCCTACGCTCCTGTCCGCTGCTTCTTCTTCGAGCTCCTCCTGCTGGGGCAGGGCCGAAACGCAGCGCACGTGCATGGCTGCACCGCTGATGCACGCATGCCCCCACCCTCCAGATGCTTCGCCGCCGCCGCCGGCGACGCGCCCCCAGCGACGCTCCCTCCTCTTGTCCCTCCTCCCCTCCTCCTCCTCCTCCTCCTCCTCTTTTGTCCTTGTATCGCTGCAGCAAATCATGGGCGCTCGGGCGTGGCGACGCTGCCCTGCTGCTGCTGCTGCTGCTGCTCCTCCTCCCCTGTTTTACGTTAGACCAACATTAGGAGCGAGCCTGTTGCGTTTGATCCTCCTCCTCCTCCTCCTCCTCCCTTCTCCTCCTCCTGCTCCTTCTCCTCCTCCTCCTGCTCCTCCTCCTCCCCCTCCTCCTCCTCTCCTCCCTCATCCTCCTCGTCCCCCTCCTCCTCCTCCTCCTCCTCCTCCTCCTCTTCCTCCTCTTCCTCCTCTTCCTGACGTGTCCCGAAGGCCCCCCGGGCTTGCCGCAGGCCGCGGGGCGGCCTTTCCCCCCAACCAAGAAACACGGAGAGCGTTGCTGCTCGCGGATGGGTGGGTGCCCGCCTGGTCGGCTGGTGCCTCCTCGGGCCCGCGAGATAAGCCGCACTGGGCAGGGAGAAGCCTTTTCCTTCTAGATAACTTCTCCCTGTCGCACCCCGAGGCCATTTTTTAGGGCGGGCCGGGCGTTCGTCTGGGACTTCCTCACCATTGATGACTCTGAACCGTCAACGTTGGCAACAGCTTCACAGATGGAGGGCGGGTCGTTTTCAAAATGTGGCTCTCGCCTTAGCGCCGCGCACATTCATTCTAAACATTTGCAAGAGCTTCACGGGAGGGCGACTCCTTTTCAAAATGTGGCTCTCGCCTTAGCGCCGCGCACATTCTTTCATACAATTTGCAAGAGTTTCACGGGCTCCCACGACCAACGTACCAGAAATGGCGTATTGGAAGGATTCAGGATTTTGCGGGTGCAACAATTACGTTGATCGACGGTGTTGAAATCCCAAGAATGGCGTTCTGGCACGATCCAAGATCGTCAAGACGCAACAGTCAGGTTGACCCGTGGTGTTGGAATCCCGACAACAATGCTTGGCATGCTTCTAGGTCTTCAAACGGGTGTCTTCCAACGAGGCAGATCCCTCAACGGAAATAAACCGTTGGAGGGACCTGTTAAAAGGGAGCTTGGAGGGAGGGTGTATTCCAACATCGTTGATGGCGCTTGGGTTTATACTGGTCTGGCTCCTTCTCGTCGCCCCCGGCGAGCCCAGATCAGCGATCGCAACGAATCGGATCGGCGGCAATCGGCAGCCAAGTCGAGAGAAGTCGAATCGGCGGAAGTCGGCAGGCTAGTCAGGCCTCCACTGAGAAACTGGAGCCCACGTCGGAATCCGAAGTCGAATGGAATCGGCATCGGACTCGATCGACATCGAGTCGGAGGAGTCGGAACGAGCCCTGTCGTCCTGGTCCTCGTCTTCCTCCTCCCTGGGGTAGTGCCAAAAGGGTGGCCACCACAGCAGGGTCGCCACTTCCTTCAGGAAGCGCCACTTCCCCTGTGCAGGGGGGCCTCCAAGACCACTCCAGAGCCTTCCCGCACGGCCCCAGACGTCGAGCTTCGATCCTGGAACACCGATGCCGAAGAGGGGAGGGTTGCAGGGGGGGGCAGTCCACCAAGAAACCTTCCACAAGAAACCAACCCTGAGACTCCAGCACGTCCATCGATTTTTGGTGGGAGCGTCACGCTTTCCATGGCAAAACCATCGACACCCAAGTAACCCAGGGCACCCTGGACGCAAGTAGGGTGTTTGTTGGCATAGGCCCCCACTGTAGAGGAGAACCAACTGCGTGCAACTGTCGGGGATCTTCTGACCGGGGTCAATCGTTGGGGGAACGGGTCCTGAGGGAAACGGGTCCTGCATGGACCCTGGGGCCTTCCCCCAGGACGAGGTCTTCACCCTGAGTCGTTTTCTGACAGCCCCGGGGCCCGTGGAGTGCGCCGAAAGCCTGAAAACGGCGAAAAACCTCAAGATCACCCGCTTCCCTCAGGACCCGTTTCCCTCATGGGGAGCATCTCGGCCCCCCTCCTCCCAAACCGTCTTTCTTCTCATCCCGAGAGCCGATGTCTGACGTCCCCCCCGAGGTCCGAAGTCTTGCTCCAGGCCCAAAACTTGTGGTGTCCAAGGCCCGGATAGCAGGGCGCCAGGAAGGCCTTCTCACACCTCTCGAAGGAGCTCTGGAAGCTCTTGGAGGGAACTTCCGAAGGAGCTTCTGGCAAGCTTCACTGCCCGCGTATTGGCAAACAGCTCGAATCCCGAATCCCGAGCCGATGCCTGACGTCCTCCCGAGGTCCGAAGCCAACCAGGGCTTGGGTCGGGCATGTCCCCCTATAGGCGGATTTTGGAGGAAAAACTAAACATGGTCAGAATATGCGCAGAAATGGTCAAACATTGACAGGAAAATCGTCCCCATATCTTCTTTACTATTTTGTTGAATACTCCTCCTGTGGAGGGACACGCCCGACTTAACACAAGCCGGCCGCCGCTCCTCTTGCGCGTTGCGTCATGGGAGGGCCATACATGGGGGGGTCGCGAGGGTGGTCCGAACAGGTACCCAAACGGCACCGAAACGAGCCCCCTGGGGCTCCGGAGGGACCCTAAAGGGGGCCGTTTCCGGCCTCCCCATGTATTAGGGAGCCCACAAAGGACGTACGCGCCCAGCTATGTACATGAACACGGCCCCTCGAACTGCGAGACCGGCCGCGTTATGCGAACATTGGCGCAATGCGTACTCTCGAAACCAACGTGGATTCATGTACGTGTACGTCCTTCTGTCGCTCCTGATGTATGACCCCCCCACGACGCCACGCCCAGTCCTCGAGACTCCTCGGGGCGCCGGCTGCATGGGCCCTCCCCTTCGGCCCTCCCCTCGCTCCTCCGCCCGGGGCCGTCGGATCGCCCCCCCGATGCTCCTCGGCCCCCCCCTCTCGAGCCTCGACCCTCGGAGGCGACGACAAGGTCAGGTCGGGCATGTCCCCCCTCAGGCAGATTTTGGACGAAAAGGAAACGAGTAGTCAGAAACGATCCCAAACGGATCAAAAATAGTGGAACAAATATGACGATTTTCGAAATTCGAATACTCTCGACTATTCTCAAGTAGTCAAAAAGCGCCCCCAGACTATTTTTGACTGTTTTCGAACATTCCTCCTGCAGAGGGACGTGCCCGACTTAACGATACGGGCGAATAGCCCAGGGGCGGGCAATACACGCCCCCCTCCAGGAGCCTCGCCGAAGACATGGGCCATCGGCGCCCCTGAATACATGTCTTGTTCTCCCCTTGGCTATTCGCCCCTGTTATCCCAGACCCCCGACGTCGTGATTTTTGTCTCAACGTCGACCCCAAAAGGTCCGCCCCTTTTTCCGCGGGACTGGCGTCTCATCTTGAGTCGTTCTAGGACGGTCCTGGGGTCCGGTAGGAGCCCCCGGGGGCCGAACGCAGCGAAAAACCTTTTGTTTCACAGCCCGAACATAGCGAAACACCTTTTTTGTTTCACAGCGCGAGGGGGGTCTTTGAGCAGGGACCGACCGTCCCGGCATTCCTATAGTCCTACCACGAAATGTTCTTAGAACCCAGAATCGTTCTAAGAACAAAAGCGATGTTCTTAGAACGCAACCCCGATGTGAGAAAACGAGACACTCCCAGCCAGACATGCTCCAAGAACACTTCGTGGGAACCACAAAAGGTTCTCAGAACATTGCTTGGTAGGGCTATACGCACGCCGGGACGCTTCGCCACTGCTTGACGGAAGGCGGAAGGACCGCGGCTGCGACGGGCCCCCCTGCCGGGCCCCCCTGCCGCGACGGCACGGGCGGCCGCCCGGCCGCACGAGAGGCCTCCGCCGCCCGGGGGGGCACCGGATGCTCCAAATCCCTCATCAATCGAACCCCCGGGTCCGGTTTCGCGAGGCGCCTTTTTTGTGACTGGGGGGGGGGGGGTCCGCCTCATCAGGGTGCCTTCTGTGGATCGGGGCTTCGAGGGTCCTGTTAGGAGGGGAGGAGGAGGAGGAGGAGAGGAGGAGGAGGAGGAGGAGGAAGAAGTCGCCACTGCTTGAGGTCTGGGATTCTCGTCGCCTCTGGGATCCTTCCCTCCCCACCCGGCGCCTCTCAGCTCGCCGCCTGCCGTGGAAGGCCTCCGCCGCGCCGAGGGAAGGCAGGCCCTCAGCTCCTCGAGTGCGGGGCGGCGAGCCCTGCGTCGGCGGAGGGCGGCAGAGGAGGGGGGAGGGTCGTGGGCGACCTCCTCCTCCGCCGCCTCCTCCTCCGCCTCCTCCTCCGCCTCCTCCTCCTCCTCCTCCTCCATCTCCTCCTCCATCTCCTCTTCCTCCTCCTCCTCCTCCTCCTGCTCGTGCTATTCCTGCTGCTCCTCCTTCTTCTCCTCCTCCTCCTCCTCCTCTTTATCCTCTTCCTCCTCTTCCTCCTCTTCCTTCCTTCCTTCCTTCCTTCCTTCCTTCCTTCCTTCCTTCCTTCCTTCTCCTCCTCCTCCTCCTCCTCCTCCCGATCTCTGTTCTAGCTGAGCTAGGGCCCTCTCCTCCCCCTCCTCCTCCTCCTCCTCCTCCTCCTCTTCCTCCTCCTCCTCCTCCTCCACCTCCACCTCCCCCTTTGTCTTCCACCCTTCAGGGTGTGAGGTGGCTGGTGGCGGAAGGGGGAACGCTTTCCCCCCCCCCCCGTAGTTTTTTGTTGTTGTTGTTATCCCCCTGGTAACTTTTTTTGTTTCCCCTGGGGGGGGGACGCTTCCCCCCCCCCCCCGTAACTTTTTGTTCCCCCAGGGGGCCGGGAAGAGCGAGCCGGGGAGGCCTGCCCTCGCTTTTGCGAGCCCTCTCTGGCAACCATGTTAGATGCCCGCTGGGCGGCCTGGACACGTAAAAGCACATGTCTCCAGCTCGGGAATTCCATGTTAGATACCCCTGTGGGTGGCCTGGACACGTGAAAACGAGACACGTAAAAGCAAGCGTCTTCCTAGAGACATCTTCAAACCATCCTCATGTCAGACATCCGCCTGGAAGACCTGGACACGCGAAAAAAAAACGTGATACTCCCTGTGTGGCCTGGACACGTGAACACACGTGGTTCAGCTCGGGACAACCGTGTTAGATAACCCCCTGTGTGGCCTGGACACGTGAAAACGCGTGGTTTGAGCTCGGAGCCACCATGTTAGATACCCTCCTGTGGGACGTGGTTCCAGCTCGGGACCACCATGTTAGATACCCCTTGGGCGGCGTGGACACATGAAAACACGTGGTTCCAGCTCGGAACCACCATCTTAGATACCCCCCTGGGAGGCCAGGACACGTGAAAACACATGGCTCCAGCTCGGGACCGCCATGCTAGAGGCTCTCCTGGTGTGGCCTGAGCACGTGAAACATCGTGTTCCAGCTAGGGGCAACCATGTTAGATACCCCGCTGGGCGACCTGGACACGTAAAAACACATGGCTCCAGCTCGGGAATTCCATGTTAGATACCCCCGTGGGTGGCCTGGACACTTGAAAACACGTGGTTCCACCTCGGGGCACCCATGCTGGATACCACCTTGGGTGGCCTGGACACATAAAAAGACATGGTTCCAGCTGGGGACTACCATGTTAGATATCCCCCTGCATGATCATTCCCCGTCATACTCATAATTCTCATCAGCACTCGTCATCAACACCATCATCATCATCCTCATCATCATCAGCATCATCATCAACATCATCATCATCATCACACTCACCAACATATGTGGCTCAAGGTTTCTGGTGCGCCCTTCCCTGAACCCCTTCCGCATCCTCCGTAGCCGACGCAACACCCAATACTCAACAGCCTCCGTGTCCAACACAACACCCTGTACTCAACAGCTTCCCGCTGCAAGACACCCTCCTTAGGAGTTCTAGTCAAAGCCCGATCCCGCCCGCCGCCCGCCGCCCGCCCGTGCGCCCGCCCTTTGCCCGCCCTCGCACTCCTTGTGCTTAACTCTCTCTGTGTCCATCATAACACCCAATACTCAAATATTCTCCGTGTCCAACACAACACCCTGTACTCAACAGCCTCCGTGTCCAACCCAACACCCTGTACTCAACAGGTTCCCGCTGCAAGACACCCCCCATAGGGTTCTAGTCAAATCCCGATCCCGCCCGCCGCCCCGCTCCCGCCGCTTGCCCGCGCGCCCGCCCGCCGCTCGCCCCCGCTCTCCTTGTGCTCAACTTTCCCGTGACCAACACAACACCCTGTACTCGACAGCCTCCGTGTCCAACGCTACATCCTGTACTCAACAGGCTCCCACTGCAAGACACCCTGTTTAGGAGTGTTATTAAACTCCCGATCCCGCCCGCCGCCGCGCGCCCCCGCTCTCCTTGTGCCCAACTCTCTTCGTTTCCAACACAACACCCATGTGTTGGCATGCATTGGCATGCATTGGCACGCCGGAGCATGCTTTGGCATGCATTAGCACGCATTGGCTGGCGTTGGCATGCGTTGGCATGCGTTGGCATGCATTGACATCCATTGGCATGCATTGGCATGTATTGGCATGCGTTGGCATGCAAATTGGTATGCAGACTGGCATACATTGGCATGCATTGACATGCATTGGCATGCCTCGGCATGCCTCGGCATGCATTGGCATGCACTGGCATACATTGACATGCATTGGCATGCGTTGGCCTGCTTTGGCATGCCCGTGGCGGAAGTGGTACTCGCACCACCCAGCCCACCCCCAATGTAGCTCAGCCGCGCCGCTGTTCGGCGGCGACCCTCCTCCCTCCCCAGCAAGGCAGGCAGCGGACCCCCCCGTCCTGCAGCTGCTTCAGCGTCAGGCACGTCCACTGCCCCTGGGTCTGGCCCTCGCCAGTGAGGCTCGGGGAGCGGTGCATGAGGCCGCTGGCCTGCACATTTTTCAATTCTTAATCTATGATATGCAAGACAGTGCTTGTTGATTGGGGGTCATGTGTTTTTGTGTTGTTGCTGCTGCTATTGTCGTTGTCGTTGTCGTTGTGGTTGTTCTTATCATTGTTGGGTACTCGCTTCTGACATATAGATGTTGTTGTTCCCCCTTCGGTGACGATTGATTTCTTCAATGGAAGTATTCCTTCCGAGGCTCACAATTAGGAATAATCTGGGGTCACCAAGCAGTGTTGTTTGGCCCCAAAGCACCAAAGGCTCCCGAAGGATACTTCCTCAGAATGTATTTCAAAATCGCGCTCTCGCGCGGGACGTCCTCACGGTTTACGCAGGAGTCGTGATCTCGCGTGGAACTTCCTTGCAGCTTACTCAAACGGCGCTCAGGAATCGCGCTCTCGGCATTTCTTAAATTTAATTGGGAATCGCGCTATTACTCGAAACCTCCTCGCGACTCATACAGGAACCCATGCTTCAGCACAAACTAAGTCCTGGGCCCCCGAGTTGCAGCAACAACAGCTCCCGCCTGATAGCTCCTTACAGTTTTACGCGCTCTCGCGCGGGGCGTCCTCACAATCTATGCAGGAATCGCGCTCTCGGGTGGGACCTCCTCGCAAATTATTCAGGCTTCGCGCCTCCAACCCACAGGAACAACGCTGTCACTCTGGCCTTTCTCACGATTTACTTGGGAATCGCGCTATCGCTCGAGACTTCCTCGCGATTCATGCTCACGCTTCGGCAACTCGCTTGTTCGTCCTGGCCGCCCGGGCCCGCCTTCCCGACCCGCCCATCAAAGTCTACCCGCCCGATCTGCCCGTCTGACGTGTTGGTTGGCATGCGAACATGAGAGCGAAGCGTTTCAAACTGATGGTTGTTGTTGTTGCTGCTGTTGTTGGATTCCCACTTCTAACGGATAATTATTGCTGACCCCCCATACGGGGCACTTTGTTTTTTCAGTTGATGTTTTTTTCAAGTGAAGTACCCTTCCAGGGGCTCACACCCTATTTGTTACCAAAAAAAACCTTGAATCTCAGGATCGTGCTGTTGGCAACCGGTTTACAACAACAGCGGCTCCCGCCTGATACTTCCTCACAATGTATTGAAGAATCGCGCTCTCGCGCGGGACTTCCTCACACTGTATGTAAGAATCTTGCTCTCACGTGGAACCTACCTCCTCGCACTCGCAAGTTGCTCAGACGATGTGCCCTCGTCGCTCAGGGCCTTTCTCACGATTTACTTGGGTATCGCGCTATCGCTCGAGACTTCCTCGCGTTTCATGCAGCACCCACGCTTCAGCAACCCGCCTGCTCGACCTGGTCTCCTGGGCCCGCCTTCTCGACCCGCCCGCTATGGGTCTGCCCACCAGATCTGCCCGTCTGGTTCTACCACTTGGTTTCTGCTCTTTGCCCCCTATCGTGCTAACTTCTCTCGTGTTCCATCCTTTTTCCCTCCCCCTTCCACCCGTCCTCTTCCCCTGTTAAAGGGGCTGCACGACATGCACGTTGTAGGTAGGAAGACACACCCCCAAAGGGGTGCGATCGAAGGCGAAGATGGCGGGTACCGAGGGTTTGGGATATACGTATTTGATGGCACGTGGGCAGATCGGAGCGATCAGTCTTAACATTTGTTATGTTGTTGTTGCTGCTGTTGAATATTATTACTTCTAAAGAATAATTATTGTTGGGCCCCCTGGTGCACGCCCCCCCCGCCGCGCCTAGGCCGCAGCCACGTTTTCATCATTTTCGTGAGGAAGCCTCAGGTAAAACGATGTGATCCAGATCCGGTTGTTTTGTTGTAATCCGTTTTCCCTTGCAAAAAACACTATAAAATGACATTTCTTGTTCTAATATAATCAAATTTCAAGAATCCCTTGCAAAAAATAAGGTAAAGTGGACATTCGCGCGCGCAAGACGAAATCCTTCCAAAACTTTAGTGTTCGGAGCGATTTTAACATAAAAACATCAAAAAACCAATGGTTTTTCAACAAAAAAATGTCAAAATCTCATCCCGCGCGCTCTTGCGGATTCGTAGGAAACCCAACACTTTTTAAACATTTCTGTCAAACGGGCTTTTGCGAGCAACTTTTTCGAACTTCTGCGACAACGGTTGCGCACCTGCCAGGGCCATCATCCCTGTCAAATAATACCATGCGGGACACATTCGTTTTTTCTTCGCGCGCGCACGCCGTCGTCGTCGGCCGCGGGGCCCTGAATAGTAGCCACGGTCGTCCGCATGCCACGAAGTGAAGTGTCCGAACGTCATAGGGCGGGAAGCTGGGTGTGGGTGGTGGCGAAGAGTCGTTTGGAAATTTGGTAGAGCTTGAACTGGCCCCCCCACAAAGTGGGGGTATTGCCCGCCTCCTATGAAAACCCTGGCACTGGTGAGAACGGAGTGTCCCCAGTCTTAAATGATTGTTGTTGTTGTTGTTGTTGTTGTTGTTGTTGTTGTTGTCGTTGGGTGTGAATGTGTGTGTGTGTGTGTGTGCGTTGGTCTTCTCGAAGGTCGAGGAGTGGATCGGAGGGAGGGGAGTGGGAGGGAGGGGGGAGGGGGACGGATGGGGGACGACGCACGGGGGAGGGAGCATGCGGAGGGAGGAGGACTGGGGAGGAACAGCAGCAGGAAGACGTGGAGTAGGAGCAGGAGGAGGAGGAGAAGGAGGAAGCGGAGGACACGAGCAAACCCAGATCCACGATGCTGCGACGCACCCTTCCCCTCCAAGTCCCCGCCCACCAGTCCCTGCAACTATTCTTCGTTGAAGGGAGCGCCCCTTGCAAGACGAGCTCCCCATGTGTATTACATTCAGGCGAAGGGCCCGAATGGAAGCAAGCACGCCGCCCATCCCTGTGGTTACGAGCAGCGCCGAGGTGTAGGACCACATAACGCAACGACTTGCCAAACGAAAGCTTCACCTTGAAACGGGAGATTCGGGGAACAAGCAACGACATAAACACAAAAACTCGGAGGTCCGCGCGGATTTCTCGCATCCGCGCTGACCCCCCTTAGATGTGCCGTCCGCCCGCGCCCGCACTGACAGCGTCGAGCACCTGGACCTGGCCTTCGGTCTGGCATGCCCCCCCACAGGAGGACTTTGGGCGAACAATTAGAAATCGTCAAACAATACACCCTAAACTATCCCCCCCCCCCAAAAAAGTCACAACATCGTCTCCAGACTATGTTTGGATAACTTTTGAATATTCCTCCTGTGGAGGGACAGGCCCGACTTCAACCTGGCCCTGGCACGCCCCGAAATCCTTCGCCTCCCGAGGGCGCCGCGGCCGGCCCGCGGCCCGCCCCCTCGGCTCCCCTCC